CCTCTGTTTTTCATTGTCTATGACCTATTAATGTCTTCTATCTAGTCCCCTGATGATGTCAAATGCCTACTGTGGTCACCTGCAGCTTACCACCAAATCCTGTCTATTTGATTGAAAGGATATTTTGAGTTTCTTATTGATGAAACATGAACATCAGTTTTCACTGAACTCAAACTCCTCAGTTTCACTGTGCAAGCTGTCATTTTTACTGCTTGTAGGAACTGACATTTTTGTTTGCTGTGATCGCTGGTCCAGGCAGTCGGGAAAGGAAAGGCTGTGTGTAGTACTTTGTAAAACATTTCATCAGCCCTCTGGTTCTGCTTTACTAAGAATGCTTACCAGTGACTGAAGCCTTCATTTTATTTTGAATTGTCTGCAATGTTAAATTTAGGTTACCACATCATGGGTGGGTTTTCAAAAAGAATACTGAAAACATCCTTCTTACTTTGGTCCTTGGTCCACAGTCTGAGGATGGTGTTTGGATAACAGTATTGTAAACTTCATGTGCAAATAGGATCGAAATATAGGGTTTATCCTCACTTTACAGCTCCTTACTTGCTCTCTTGCCCCTAGCTAATGCCCAGGGTGCTAGAATCAGAGAAAAGAGCCCTGTCACCCTAGCTAGCCCCATCCCCTACACCATCACTACTTCCTTCTCTGTATTTAAAAATATTACAGAGATTATGCTAATAAACACCAGCCACACAATGCTGAATTAATGAAAACTACATTTTGGCCCAGATTATTTTAATTAAAATTAGAATTTTACTGATTAAGCCTTTGTATGATTTCCTCACATCCAAAGGAAAAAAAATCCTGTTAATTGTGTTTGACACTCTTCTTATTGACTAGAGAACATTCTAGTGTCTCATTTATCAAGAACAAAGTTAATTGCTTTTTTGTTTAACATCCTATATGGATTTCTGTAATGCTTTTATTACTTTAACAAGTAGTAGTGGTATACATTTTAAAATGTTGCCACATTTTTTGTTCAACTGATACCTTTCAGTATTTTTATATATAAAAAATGATATAAGCATGGTTTTAATATATAACAATATGAGAATAGAATAATAGAGTTTCTTTAAATAATTCATGTTGGTTTGTTATAAAATGCTACAAAATAAATCTGATACATAACACATTTGGAATATTATCCTGTTTCATCCCTCAAAAAAGAGAGTAGCTTTTGGAAGGTTTACTTTATAAGCTCTGATTTGAAAATTACGGTTGATCTACTCTTTAATATTAAGTGATGACCCAAATGAGCCTATATTTGGAATGTTGTATTTTGTGACTAATAGCAGAAAGCAGTGAGTAGTTAGATGTATATGAAAACATCATGTTGCTTTTCTTATTTTAATACTGATCTTGGGAAAATGTTAACTTCCTGACTTGCCGTCATTGTTAAATATCCTCTCAAGTCAACATATTATTGATTAAAATTTGTTTGGGGGATTTATTTGATCTTTTTGACTGTGATGCCCACACATAGGATTTTCCAAGCTATCATGACCCTGTTAGACCCACTGGTCAGGAGGAGAATCATCTTAACAGTCAGCAGGTTGCAAAGGGCTCCTTTCAGGGGATTGTGATGTCATTTTCCCAGCAGCCTTGTGCTCATATTCAATGTCTCTCATTGAAGTTGCCAGAATCAAGCATCTGCCCCCCTGCTATTCCCATGGCCTCATTCAGGGAGATGATTGAAATGTGGTAAGAATAGATCTGAGAGTTCTAGTGAACAACTAGTTAAGTGTTCCTAATTCGTATGTTTCTACACCATACTGTGTATTTCATGTACTGATTAGTGTTTGTAAACCTTATTATAGTTAACTTTAAATTAATAAATATTTACTAGGATATGTAATGCCAATAAATCCAAAAATTTAAAAAATGGTTGAGCACTAAAGACATGAATTATGTAAACAGTTTATATTGCCTAACTATTATTTTGGCTAATTTACCCAAAACTGTATATTAGCCAAACTATAAATCATTGCAGTCATTCCAACACTTAAAATGTTTGACTATAAGTTATTAAAAGTGGGTGGCTTCAAATTATATTGTTGAATTTTCACTTAGTCCTTCAATTTCTCATGTAATTTTTTATGAAAGTCTTCAAAACAAAAATTTAATTGCAGTATAGTGTTATTTTCTATATTGTAATTTATTGTTTAACTTATATTTTGGTAGATACCACATTGGTTAACATATTGAAATTACTGGATTTTTATATTTTGATGTGCTGATTCAGAGGATATGAATTTGTAAGGATACTGTGTGTGTGTGTGTGTGTGTAGTGTATGTATACATCTCATGTGAGTATATGTAAATATATATAATATGGCTATACATGGGTATACATGTATTTGCTCTATAATAACAATATCCACACTTACTTTTCTCCCTCACTGCTCACCAAATGTTCAGGATTATTAATTTGCTAGTTGATAGGTAGCAATAGTATCTTACTATTTATACTGAATTTCTTTCACTTCCAGTAAAGTTAAATTTTTCCTGTAAGTCCATTGACGATCAGTAATTATTCTTCAAGTTGCTATTATTTGTTCCTCAATTTCTACTAAGGTTTTATTTCTGTCAATGCGGAAGAGCTCTGAATATACTGAGCACATTTTTACCTGTTATTTATTGCAGATATTTTACCAGTGTGAAGTTTGTGCAAACTTTGTAAAATTTCATTTAACCAAATCAATTGATTGTCTCATAATTAAAAAAACTTCATAAATACCTTTTGATTTTCAAATTAAGTTAAATGTTTACTTGGATCTTTATGTTATAGTACAGTTTAATCTTAAAAATTTAAATATTTTTATATATAGAAGTATTAGTAGTTTTTTATAAGATTAAATTCAAATTTTTTCCAAAATAGTGTTTTTTATTTGTTAAATGATTCATCAAATACTCATTAATTTTTGATACTTTATTTTTGAGATTTTGCTCATATATGCTTGTGTTCATTTCCATTAATATATCTTAATTTGTTTATATTTTGAATGTTATGCAGTTATCCCATAATTTAGGTTATGTTTATTAACATATTTTAATAATAAACAGTATTTTCATCCTTTGTAATATTTTCTGATTTCATCATATATTTAAGGTATACAACATGACATTTTGATTTTGTGTGTATAGTGAAATTAATGTCCACAAATAAACATAAACATCATCAAATATAGCCAACTTTCTAGTGTCTATTTCTTGTTGTGATAAGAATATCTAAAATGAACTTTCTTCATGAATTTACAGTACCCAACTCAATCATGTTAACTATGTAGCTCCTGCTGTAAGTTAGACCTCTGGATTTACCCCATCGGGCACAGCTGATTCATCTATGTTTATTCCCACAAGTGAAATTTATATTTTTAATTAAAATAAATACTACTAGCTTTTGACTGAGTTAGACCTACAGCTTTGTTTGGGTGGGACTGAACACCTCATCTCTGTCTAGAGTCAGTCCTCTTAACCAGTAGCATCCGATGTACTGCAGTACAGATTGACTCTTTTCTGTATGTGGTTTTCAAACATTTCTTGTTAATGTTTAAAGGGTTATTTTTTTGGTTCTTACTACTGTGAATTTTGTCATTAAATTTACTAGGGAGTCATTGCTGTTATAGAAAAACTAATGTATGCAAATATAATTATAGTGCATTTTCCTTGTGCCCTGGCTTGTTCGTTCAGTCATTCTTTGGTTGGTACTCAGCACTGGTGATAGTACTGAAGAGATGAACGGAGTCAGATTCCTCTGTGATAATATCTCTTATTTCCTTGTTTATTTTCAGTAAATAAATATCCTTCTCTGTAACCAGAGTAGCTCAGGGGTAGTGGCAGCCATGACGGTGACATGATAATATTTTTATAGTCTGTTGTTATGAAAAAAATCTAAATTTTTTGACTTTGTGGGCACATTTCACATTAAGTAGTTTGATTCTTTAAAATGCTCATATTTTTGTGACATTATCAAATTGAATTTAAAAATATTGAAATATTTCAGCCTCCTGGTTTTTATCATTTGTGACAGTAGGTTAAAGTAGACATGAGGGGCCAGCGCTGCAGCTCACTAGGCTAATCCTCTGCCTGCGACACCGGCACTCCGGGTTCTAGTCCTGGCTGGGGCACTGGATTCTGTCCCCGTTGCTCCTCTTCCAGTCCAGCTCTCTGCTGTGGCCTGGGAAGGCAGTGGAGGATGGCCTTGCAATTCTAAACCAATAAAAAAGTATAGGTGAACACAAAAAAAACCAGAGTTTCTAATTACTATCCCTTCAGACATTTTGATGTTAAAAATACACAAGACAAATTGTTGGACATTTCCTTTCCAAGTAACGTAGTATACTGGAGTGGTGACTTCAAAATATTCATGGTATAATTGAATTGAAAGATAATTATTTTGATGCAAAAAGATTGAAATCCATGCATAGGATGGATTTCTCCCGCATGGGAGACCAGGAGGAAGCACCTGGCTCCTGGCTTCAGATTGGCGCAGTGCAGTGGCTGTAGCAGCCATTTGGGGGGTGAACCAAAGGAAGGAAAACCTTTCTCTCTGTTTCTCTCTCTTACTGTATAACTCTGCCTGTCAAAAACAAACAAACAAAACCCAACCAAACAAAAAAAAAAAGTGGACATGAGGATTACTTACTATATTTTCCTAATAAACTGGAAGCTTAATAATATGCAAGTAAAACTGTACACAGTTTGACAGCTCTCTGGGGTATTCCTGACAAAGGGCAGGAAAGCTGTTCATTAACAGATTCTTTTTGTCACACAGTGATGATAAAATACCTTCCAAACAATTCAAAGAGTAGCTATCAAACCAAAAGTTTATTTCTTCAGCTATGTTAATTTATTCTTGAGGGCTGTTTAATATATCACTATCAGAATACAGATTCAACAACCTAATTATTCTTTATAAGAAAGAGTAAAAATATTTGCCCTGTGAAACACTGGCTGAATTTACCACAGTTCCCATCTTCTTTTTACAGCTCATGGGGCATTCAGAATGGGACCACAAACGAGGCCTAAGGGGCTCTCAGGTAAGTGTCCTTTTCATTTCCTCTTTCATATTTTGTTTCTTAAACTTTGGAGCCATGAGTTTTCTGAAACTCAAGAAATAATAGTAAGTAGAGAGAGAGGAAGAGGCAAAAAAGTCCTGCCATTTGTTTTTATTTAAGTTAGCTGTAATTAAAGTCTGGGATTCAGATCCCAAGGGAAAAGTTGTGTACTCCTCCTAACATTCCCAGATTGTCTGTGTTGATCTGAGTGGAATTTATAATCATTTTGTCTCTGCAGAATACATTTTGATCAGCAACCCACTCTCTTGCTTTTATTTACTTCCTTTGATAATTTTCCATGTATTTTCTTCTTTTCTCTATCTTTCTGCTTTGGGTTAAATATTTTGAAATATAATCAGAGGAAGCTGAACTAATTAGAAGATTTTCTCCCTAAATTAACTGTCTTCATCTAAGGGAAACAGAAAGATGAAAGGACCCATTATTTTTGAAAAGAAACAAATTCTAAACCTTTCTATATTACCAGACTGTTCTCATTGTCTTACTTTATGTCTTAGGCAACAAGAAAAGCTTCCATGACGCATTTATGCTTTTTAATGACCTAATTAGACAATGTGGATTTGTTTTGCTTCCATAATTGCTCTGCCGGACAGAATGAAGGCTGAGTTTACACGAAGGAAATTATCTTTCTTCCTAGGGCATTTTGTGAGAAAAATAAAAACAATTCATCTCGTAGAAGTTCATGTTTACCTTACTGTAAGCATGCCAAATTAAAAAAAAAAAAAGTGGAGGGAAATTTTTGTTTCTCCTACTCATGTTCTGTATTTCTCACTAAAAAATATACAGTGAAAAGAAAGAGTTGAATGCACAATACTGTATTTGAAAGTTCATTGTGAAGTACAAGCTTTCCCCAAGTGTTTCACAAACCTTATGTCTACCTATGATATCACTAAGTTGGTGTGGCTGACTATTTAATTTGGGTCACTGGGAAAATCAAGTCAAGGTGAGGTTTCAGTTGAGATTTTAATAGCTATGATTTTGTTTGGTTCAATGTTGGTTTGGTTAGTAAATAACATAGCCAGTACAGTTACATTAGGATTATCCGAAAGAATTTATGCCTTACTGTTTTCCTTCTTACCTCTACTTATCCATTTTCTCTCTCTCTCTGTATCTACAATATTTTATATCAGAATTCCAAGTACGGTTAGTAATGAGAGGTGAAATTAAGACAAGGTTAATTCTTTGCAATTCTTAACCAATAAAAAAGTAGAGATGAACAAAAAAAAAAAACCTAGAGTTTCTAATTACTATCCCTTCAGACATTTTGACGTTAAAAATACACAAGACAAATTGTTGGACATTTCCTTTCCAAGTAGTGTAGTATACTGGAGTGGTGACTTCAAAATATTCATGGTAGAATTGAATTGAAAGATAATTATTTTAATGCAGAAAGATTGAAATCCATGCATAGTCTTTTCATAACACATATTTCCATGAACTTTTGGAGACCCTTCATGTATTTATACACACACACACACACACACATACATATATATATATGTGTGTGTGTGTGTGTGTGTGTGTATATATATATATATATATATATAATGTTGTTTTATTTCCCCCAGTGGTCTACTTTGTAATAATTTATCTTCAGGTAGAGATTGATCACTCTGTCAGTATAAATTTTAAAAAGTCTCATAGAAGTACAATTATTTGAATTAAATTTAAATTCCAAAACAAGCAATATTATAAAAATTTCAAATTTTTCATATAGCTAGACAGCTTCAGAATTCCACATAAACATACACAAATATTTTTATAAATGTCTTCATTATATTTGAAGGCTTCCAATGGTTCTGAAAAGCAAAGGATGTTTAAAATGCATGCATGAATAAACGTTTGAGCATCAGGGTCTTTCCTGATATTTCAATTGGCAGAATAACTAATGTGAAAGTGGTATATGTAGTCCCACTCTTTTCTTAAACTCAGATAAAAACTGTCAGAGTAAAAAGAAAAAACAAACCAAAAAACTATATACATTTAAAAAATAGAAAACATTTCAACTACCAAAAATTTATTTGGGAGCCAGTGTTTGGATCAACAGTTGAGATGCCCTCACCCCATGTCATGGTATTCCTGGGTTCAAGTCCCAGCTCATTTTCTGATTCCAGCTTCCTGCTCATTCAGAATCTGGGAAACAGTGAGTAATGGCTCAAATACTTGGGTCCTTGCCATCCTGGATTGAATTGTTGCTGGCTCCTGGCTTCCGCCTGGCCCGGCCCTGGCTCTTGTGAGCATTTAGGGAGTGAACCAGAGAATAGGAACTCTCTTTGTCTGTCTGTCTCTGTCTTTCTCTGTCTCTTTCCCTCTCAAATTTAAAAAGAAAGTTGTTTTGGAGAAAATTTTCATAAATTGGGTAGGCATTAATTAATAGCCTCCTATCTAATGTCACTTTTCCACTGGGGGGAAAATACTGTGTTTTTGTTTCTCATCCTTGAACCTTCTTATTTTGCCATCATTTCCTTGGATCATGTCTAAAGCCTTTCAGTCAAAGGGAATTTCAGATACATGAACACAGATCTTTTAATGTGTTACTAATACTCCAAAGCCTCTCTCAAATCTCAGTTGAGTTTAGGGTGAGTTTTGGAACACTTCCTACGTGGACAGCACTGTGGTAGTTCTCACTCTGAAGAAAAAGTGAATGTCAAGGTCACTGCTTTCCAACAACTCACACAAACACACAAACAGTACTTGCATGTGTAATTCACATGTAAGACAGACTGGTAGATGCAATATTAAATATATAAACAAACTGCAATTGGATTTATGTGGGAGAGAATATTTCTCTATAGTAGAACTAGAAAATAGTTCGTAGAAATGATATCTGAGGTGAGTCTTTAACAATGGATGAGCTTCCAAAAGAGAGGGAAAGGATGAAAAGGCTAATAAAATCCTGAAATGGGCAGATTATGGGGCATATTCAGATATGTATGAATTTTCTTTTAAACACTTCCTGGGTGGGAGCTGTTGCAGAAACTGCTGAGAAGGAATTAGGGAATGCTGTGATTTGGGATGGAAGAGATAGAAGGAGGTAGAAAGGAGTCAGGTCTGAAACAGACTCAGGAGAATTGGTGTCATTAACACAGAGCACTTCAGGGAGCAGTTGATGAAGTCAGTGTTAGTCCAGTAAAGTGAGAAGATGACATTTGAGGAAAATACTTGAGGGGCCCTTCTCGGCTCTGTGACCAGATTAGAGCAAAAGATGTCAACTTGGCAATGATGATCATGCCTGTGATGACTGATCGACACCAAGGGATAGCCTGCCAGAAGATGAATACTAAAAGAAAATCAGAGTATTCCAGGAGAATACTCACTGAAAGGGCTGGGGGAAGCAGGAGAGGGAGTCCGTGCATGCACCTGGTCTCATGGCGGACCAGTTGGTAGGAAAATAATTCAGAATCAAAAGTTAGACACTGAATGGGGCAGTCACTTGCACAGCAGTTAAGACACCACTTGGAATGCCCTTATCCTCTGTTGGAGTGCCTATGCTATGGGAGTGTTCAAGTCCCAGTACGATTTTCAATTCTAGTCTCCTGCTAACGGGCACCCTGAGAACCAGCATGGGCTTTGGTTATGGCTCATGGGCTTTGGTCCTGCCACCGACATGGAGGTGTCCCAGATTGAGTTTCCACTTCTCATCTTTGGTCTCTTCTGGCCCTGGCTGTTGCAGGCATTTGTGGAGTGAACCAGCAAATGGAAATCTCTCTCTCTGTTTCTTGTGTCTCTGTGTGTGTGTGTGTGTGTGTGTGTATGTACGTTTATGCATGGGTGCAGTGTGCCATCAGGTCACTCCAAGAAGAGCATTCAGCTACAGTGTCAAGAAAAATGAAAACCTTAAAAAACACTAGGAGAGTATCAGGGAACTTGAGGAATGCAGTTTTGCTAAAGAAGGACCTGTGGAAAACAGAGTATGGGAACTGGCAAGAGAATAGTGTAATACAGTGGGATGTGCTGCTGGAGAAGCTCTGTTTTAAAAGACAGGTTTGTGGGAAGTGGTGGCAGCAGAAGTGAGTGAAGTTGAGTGAATGAGTGAGTGAAACTTTTTTTATGCCAAGGGGAGGTATGTGTCTTAATAATTACTTGCAGATGAAAACAATCATACTGGAGAAGAAATCACTGCAAATTCTCCAGAATGCATTGATTGAGGACTGAGAAAATGGTGCAATGCAGGGAAGAAAATGCACTCGACTGCAGAATGGTCCTTGTGGCATCTGTTTATGTCTTTTCCTAACAGGCACCTGACGTTCATCCCTACCACTTAGGTGATTTCAAAAAAGTAGTCTTATTCTCAAATGTACTACTGGATCAATGCACCTGGAGAAACTCTGTAAAGAAAGTAAAACTATTGGTATGAGAATAAGAGAGAAGCAATATTGACAAAAATGGAAACATACTGGGAATCTAGTGACTCCTGTTTTCTTAGAGTGCATAAAGTTCTGCACGTAATGATGGACAACCTAACTGTGGAAAACACATGTAATAAATGTGGCTTTGGGTCTATAACAGGTCTTCATAAAATTCACGATAAATGCATATTATGAAAGAAACTATGCATTGTAACACCAGCATCCCATATAGAAATTCAGCTATGAAGTCCTGGCTACTCTGCTTCCAATTCACCTTCCCACTACTGTACCTGGAAAGGCAGTGGGTGATGACCAAAGTGCTAGGGCCCCTGTCACCCATGTAGAAGACCAAGGTGGAGTTCATGGCTCCTGTCTTTGGCCTGACCCAGACCTAGCTGTTGCGGGCATTTGGGTAGTAAACCAACAGATCGCTCTGTCTCTTCATCTGTCTGTCATTCAGCCTTACAAATAAATAAATAAATAAATCTGAAAACAAAACATGAATATATGTCAGGCCCTTTCTTAGCTTTTGTGGAATCAAAAATGAACAAAACTTTCTCTTTTCATCACACAGTTGCCAGACAACTTTGGCAACAAAGAGTTTTATCTAATGTC